CAGTGGGTCTTTGGTGGGCGCCAGGGCTGAGGGCTTCTCTGCGGGTGGAGCCTGGAAGTTGCCCACTGCGTGGCAGGCCTGGGGACGCAGCAGTATCAGGACCTGCCCGGGGGCTGGGGGACCCGCGTGGCCAGCAGCACAGGGGCGAGGGGTGCCCTGAAGGTCAGGGCCTTGGTGGGGACCCCAGGTTTCTGTGCTTCCTTGCTTAGACCCATCCCCACCTGCCCACTCACCAGGTAGGCAGCGATGCCAGCCCCGATGAGGAAGCCAGCGTAGACGTCCACCGGGTGGCTGCGGTACTGCGTGATCTGGGTGAGGCCACACACGCCAGCTGCTATGGCGAAGGCAAACACCAGGATGGGCTTGAGCAGCTTGGTGGTATCGGAGATGACGGAGTTGAAGTACATCTGGGGGGAGCAGCAGTCAGGGGGCAGCCGGCTCCCCGAGGGCTGCCCACAGGCAGGGCCGGGGCTGGGGACTCACTCACTCACTCACTCACCGACACGTAGACCGCAGCAAAGGCTGAGAGTGTGGCATGCTGTGACGGGAAGGTCTTCCTGGAAGAGGTGCCCAGTGTGAGCCCTCCTGCCCAGTTTCCCCATGTCCAGTGGGCTGTGACACTCCCACCTGGGGCCGTCGGCGTGGGGCTCACCGTGCAGACAGGATAGCGTGGGTGTCATGGCCCGAGCAGATGTCCTGTGTGATGTAGGGGTTCGCCTCACACGAGGTGCCCAGCAGCGTGTAGTTGGGTTTGCACACAGTGAGGAAGAAGGGCGCATGGTAGCCGGTAGCCAGCTGGATGACGTCAGTCACCAGGGCGGTGGCACAGAGGCCGAACACGTGGACACCTGCGGGGCGGGAGGTCAGGCAGGGAGGGAGCCAGGCCGGAACTCCCCACCCCAGGCGTGAGCTCCGAGCAGGACTCACCCACGAAGCGCACCGTGCGCCGCAGGAAGGAGTTGAAGTTGCAGCCACCAGCGTTGATGCTGCCCTCAGCCCCGCCAGGTCCTCCACCACGGCCCCAGGGCCGAGACTGCAGGCAGTACAGCAAACCCTCGCCGACCATGATCTGCCAGGGCCACAGGGAGGCGTCAGGGCCCGCTGCGTCCCTGGCCCCCAGACCGGCCGGCCCAGCCTTGCCCCGCAGGTGTCCACTCACAGAGGCTGCGGGGGCCGCAAAGGCTAGGCTGAGCAGCATGAGCAGCGGGATGAGCTCCTCGCTGGTCTCCACGTAGGGCATGGACAGCGTGCGGTCGTAGCACTGGAAGCCCACCTTGGCTGGCTTGAAGAGGTCGGTCAGCTCCAGGAAGTACAGCGACACAATGGAGGATGCCACGATGGGCAGCTGCAGGACACAGCGGCCACCTAATCTAACCGTGTACTCACTGACCTGCTGTGTGATCGTCACAGATCCAGCCAGCACAACCCCGCTCCACATCCATCCACGGGGTTCTCCAGCCACCATCCCCAGCCCACCATCTTCCCGACCACCATCCCCCATCCCCCACCATCCATCCACACACGTACCCGCCCCAGCCAGCCAGACACACATATATTAACCTCATCTATCCATCTGCCCTCACTGTCCACCAACCCAGCCATCCTGCCTTCCATTCACCCGTCTGTCCCTGACTTCCCTCCAGCAACCCTTCTTTTTCTTTTCTTAAGACAGGATCTCAACATGTAATTCAGGCTGGCCTTGAACTCACTATGTAGCCCAGGCTGGCCTCCAACTCACAGCGATGCTCCTGCCTCAGCCTCCCAAGGGCTGAGATCACAGGTGTGCACCACCATTCCTCCGCTTCCTTTCTTTTCATCCTAGAAGGAACCAACAGATCCCTGCCTCTGGGTTTCTTCTTTCCTTTCTTCCCTGATGGGATGTGCTTGCTTAAACACGCTCTGGTTGCTGGCCCTTCCTGGACACCCACCTGCCCCTTGCACTGCTTTGGCACCAAATGTGCCAGGCACCCGGCAGAAGCTAGCAGGGGGTCTGCAGAGAGGGCCCTGCAGGGTCTGGGGTCTGCAGTACGCGAAGCACTGCAGGCTCAAGGCCCAGGGAAATGAGTGAGGAGGGGACAGTGTCTGCCATGTGCTATGGTTTGGATCAAAAATGTTCTCCAGGGCTGGCTGGGGGTTTTAGCTCAATGGTTCTGGTGCCAGGACAAGGACCCGAGTTCGATCCTCAGTACCAAAAAAAGAAAAAAAGTTACCAAAACCAGGTGGCACACGCCTGTCATCCCAGTATTAAAAAGGCTGAGACAGGATTGCAAGTTCAAGCCCAGCCTGGGCAACTTAGTGACTTAGCAATATCCAGCCTCAAATAAAAAGGGCTGGAGATATAGGATAGTGTGAAAGCCCTGGGTTCAATCCTCAGTACAACAACCCAAAAAAGCCAGTTAGTCCATAGCTGGGGGGCCTGACTGGGGGAAGTCACTGGGGTGTGACCTGGAACAGTATATCTGGTCCCAGCCCCTTCCTCCCTGGCTCTCCCTCCTCTGCCGGGTGCCTCAGTTTCCCCAGGTGTGTGATACAATTGATAGGACTCTGAACACGTGAGCAAGGACTCAGATGGATAAATACTAAAGTGGAAAGCCGGGCTTGGTGACACATGTCCGTAGTCCTGGAACTCAGGAAGCTGAGGCAGGAAGATTGTTGCCAGTTCAAGGCCACCTTGAACTACACAGTGAGACCCTATCTCAGAAAAACCCAAAAAAGGGCCAGGGATTTAGTTCTGTGGCACTGCCCCTGCATTGCAAGTGCCAGGTCCTGAGTTTGATCCCTACTACCAAAAAAACCCAAAAACCCAAAAATAAAAAATAAAAATTTTTAATGCAGCAGAGAATGCTTCAATCAGGCCTGAACGCACAGCATTGTCATGAGCCTGGTTTGGCCTGGTGGGCAGCCAGCACCAAGGCCTGGGAAGGGTTTGCATTGGGGGCCCAGGGATGGCCTTAAAGACACCAAATCCTAGCCTGGTGTGGCAGCGCACACCTGTAATCCCAGCACTTAGAGGCTGAGGCAGGAGGATCGCCCAAAGTGCAAGGCCAGCCTAAACTACATAGCAAGGACCTGGCTCAAAAAATACAAAAGTTGTTTTAAAATTCCCTGTCATTCCACCCATGAGGATCTAAGGTTTGGGAAGGCTTGGTTGTGACTGGAGAGGCCTGTGTAGCTGCTTGTCACTACAGGGCGAGGCGGGCAGGGCCAGAAGGAAGCCACAGCAAGACCAAGGGGGTTGGGGAGGGCAGGACCACCACGCAGGAAGAACCAGCAGCCTGGCAGCAGGCACCTGGAGGTGCAGTGAGGTTGAAGGCCGGGCAGGGCCCCACACCGGGACCCAGCACCTCTGCAAGCCTCCCACCCACTCATTTCTCCCCGAGACCCTCAGCTGAAATCCCTGGACGCTGGAGACTACGTGGGGCCTAGGGACGAGGTATTCAGTCACTCAAGGACGTCCTGCCAATGTGATGCTTTTTTAGGTACCAGGGATTGAACCTGGGCCCTTGTGCTTTCCAGACAGGTGGCAGAACCACTGAGCCAAATCCCCAGCCCTAATGTGATGCTTTTTGTAAAGGTGTGAGGTTTGGCAAGGTGCTTTGCACCTGTCATTCCAACTACCCAGAGGCTGAGGCAGGAGGACTGCAAGTTCAAGCCAGCCTGGGCAACTGAATAAAACCCTGTTGCAAAATAAAAAATAAAAGGAGCTGTGGATGCAACTCAGTGAGGGGTGCTTGCTTAGAACGAACAAGGCCCTGGGTTATGTCCCAGTATTGCCAAAAGAACCCCACAAACAATAAAACAAAACAACTGAAACCCCTCCAAACAAAAAAGCAAAGAAAGTCAGGTGTGGTGATGCACACCTGTAATCCCAGCACTTGGGAGGCTGAGGCAGGAGGATCGCTGTGAGTTTAAGACCAGCCTGGACTACACAGTGAGTTATAGGTGAGTCTCAACTACACAGTGAGACCCTGTCTCAAAAAACCTAAAACAAAACAAAACAAAACAAAAAAACCCAAAGAAAAAAAGAAGCCAGGCATGGTGGTAGCAAGTCATAGCTACTTGGGAGGGTGAGGCAAGAGGGATCAAATGAGCAGGTTTTGTTTTTCTTTTCTTTTTCTTTTTTTGGAGACAGAGTCTTACTATGTAGAACAGGCTGGCCTTGAACTCACAGCAATCCTCCTGCCTCAGCCTCCCAAGTGCTGGGATTACAGGCATGTGCTACCATACGCCATGTGCTTGAGCCAGTTTAAGACCAACCTGGGTGACACAGTGAGACCCTGTCCCACAAAAAATATCAAGTCCTCAACTTACAGTGGAGCCAAAGTATAACATATAACTTCTGCTTTCTCCTTCATTATAAAACACGTTTGGCTGTGGTTGTCTTTGGTACTGGGGATTAAACTCAGGGGCTTTACACTGAACTGCATCCCCAGCCCTTTTTAATTTTTATTTTATTTATTTATTTTTTTGGTACTGGGGGTCGAACTCAGGTCTTTGCAAGGGGCTTGCAAGGGAGGCGCCGGAACCACTGAGCTAAATCCCCAGCCCGCCCTTTTTTATTTTGATCCAGGGTCTTGTTAAGTCACTAAGTTGCGCAGGCTGGGCTGGAACTTGGGATCCTTCTGCCTTAGGCTCCCAGGGTGCTAGGATGACAACTGGGCGCCCCATGCCTGGTTCCTGACTCCAAGGTGTGTGTTCAAGCACACTGGGTAGGTTCGGGTACATTTGGGCTGGGCCAGTGCTAGTGGCTTAGGTGTTCTGCTCTTTTTTTTTTGGCACCGGGGATCAAACTTGGGCCCTTGTGCTTGCGAGGCAGGAGCCAGAACCCCAGAACCACTAAGCTAAGTCCCGAGCCCCTAAATTCTCTTTCTGGGGGGTGGCTGAGACAGGGTCTTGCTATGCAGTTCAAACTGGCCTTGAACTCACTATGGAGCCCAGGCTGGCCTCGAACTCAGGGCGATCCTTCTGCCTCAGTCTCTGGAGGGGTGCAGAGCCACACGCAGTCTGAATGCTCTTTCAAATGAAGGCCTTTTCCAGTTCCAAGGGTGCTCCGTGCCCAGGGAGGAGCGTGTGTTCTTGTAATGCAGCAACTGCGAGTGAGACCAGCCATTGTTTTTCACCCACGAATTGGTCAGAATCCAAAAATCTGCTGCCATGTGGTGTGGCTGTGACTGTGGTAAATGGAGGCGCACACGGGTATGCTGAAGGCTGTCATCCCCCTCCACCGGGAGCACCTTAACGTCTTTTCAAAGTGACTGTACACTTTTCCCAGGGCGCAGTCTTCTGGGGCTGACCTTCACACACATAAGATTACCCAGGGCCTTGCATCCTCAGCCTTTTTTTTTTCTTTTTCTTTTTGGGATGAGGTCTGGATGTGTGTATCTCAGGCTAGCAGTGGACTCACTGTGTAGCCCAGGCTGGCCTTGAACTCATGGTGCTACTCCTGCCTCCGCCTCCTGAGTGTGGTGTTGAGATCACAGGTATGTGTCAGCCCTCAGCCCTTTCTATTTTGAGACAGGGTCTTGCTAAATTGGCTAGTCTGACCTTGAATTTGTGACCCTCCTGCCTCTGCCTCCTGAACAGATGAGATCACAGGCATATACCAAAGGTCCCCAGCATAAACACATTCTTGGACAGAACAACAACAGGCCAGAGGGCTTTCACCACAGGACCATCTCTGGTGACAGAAGTTAGAAGACACAGTTGTGTCCAGCTACTGCAAATGGAGGGCCATGTTGCTGGGAGCAGGGCTGGGGACACCTTTTATGTGATGCTAATCCAAGGTTTCCTCTGGAAAAAAAGACAGGAGCAGAACTGTGTGTTCAAAAAATGAGAGAGCATGTCTACCACCTCATCACTCCAGAAGGATGAGGCAGGAGAATCTCAGGTTTGAGCCTAGCTTGGGCAACTTAGTGACTCAGCAAGACTCTCACTCAAAAGGAAAATAATAAATAAAACAGGCAGGGGATGTAGCTCAGTGTCAAATCCCTGGGTTCCATCCCCAGTGCTGCAATGAGGGGGAAGGGACTGGGCTGCAGCTCAGTGGTTGAACACTGGCCTAGCATACTCTAAGCCCTGCATTCAATCCCCAGCACCACAGAAAACCAAACATTAGAGCGGGGACTTAGCTCAGTGTCTGCTGCCTGCCTCACAAGCACAAGGTCCAGAGTTCAAGCCCCAGTACCAAAAACAAAACAAAACAAAACAAAAAAAATCTGAAGAGGCAAGTTAGAGCAGGAAACGGGGCCCAGAGACTGCAGGGGGAGCCAGCTGCCTCTGCACTGAGGTTGGAACCTATTGTAACCAGAACATAAATACAACCAGGAGACAAACAGATCTGCTCCAAAGCTACACCAGGGAAGGACCCACTTTCCGGAGCTGGGTCAGGGTCCTGGGGATCCCAGGCTGTCGCAGGGTTGGGGGACGGCCCAGCTGGCTTTTTCCCACCCTGTGCACCACCAATCCCTGCTCTGGCCCACATGGAGCCAGATTCTCCCTCCTGTCATTCAAGGACTGACCAATGTCACCCTTCAGCATCCACTGGAGCCCCACTCGGTATGCGCCAGGCAGCTGCATTTATGGTCTTCTCGGTTCAGAATATTGCCAAGCCCTCCCTTGAGCCCGGCCAGCGGGGAGGCTTTTGTGGCTGTTAATTCCTATGAAATCCCTGGGGTGGGGGTGGGGGCGCGCCCGGAGGTTGAGCGCTGTGCTCCCACCACACCACGGGCAGCGGAAGGTCTGAACTCAGATCTCAGGCTAGGAGAGCACCCCGGGGAGGAAAACCGCAACCATGCCCAGCCCACCCTTGGCCTCCTCACACCCTGCATAGCGGGGCTGGCTCCTGACCCTGACCCCAGTTGCAGGCACCACCTCCTAGCGTTTGCCCACACCAATCCCACAGCCCAGACCACCCTTCCACACCTCTGGAACTCCTACTCAACCAGAAGAGCCCAAGCCTTCTGACCTGGCCTCATCTCCCTCGCCCCAGCCCCAGGTACCCTCTCCAGTTGGGTCAGGGGCAGCTGTGCCCGGTCCTGTCTGCCCCCCAGCGCCCCCACCCCCACCTCACCTCCACGAAGTAGAAGCAGGGTAGAAGCGTCATGCTGTCCTTCGGGCTTTTATTCTTCTCCTTGGCGGAGATCATGGTGCCGCGGGCGCTGCAGGCCGACGCTAGAGGGGCGTAAAGGCGCGCTGGGGAGGGGGACAGGCACTCTGAGCCCTGGGGGCACCCGGGGCCCGGCGCAGGCGGGGAGGTTTGGGTGAAGACTCCCGAAAACCTCCCGGGAAAACGACTG